GTGTGTTATGGCCTGTAGGGTTTAGGGTTTAGGTTTTATCTAGGGTTTAGGCTCTATCTAGTGCTCAGGTTTTTGGATCTGTTGGTTCTTGTTATGTGCAGAGTGGGTGACTCACGTGCATGTAAAACGCCTAAACCCTAAACCCTAAGGTGTAAACCCTGAACCCTAAACCCTAAAGTGTAAATCCTAAACCCTAAAGTGTAAACCCTAAACCCTATTTCTGAAGCCCTGAGCTCTAAAGCGAGCAGAAGTCCTCCCTGGAGTTCGTGCATCTGTGGCTGCCTCTGAACCCTAAACCCTAACCGTAAACCCTAAACCCTAAACCCTAAACCGTAAACCCTAAGTGCAGCGCGAAAAGGCGTACGGACGTTCATGTCAAATCCTAAAGCCTGATTTCAGGCCGAACTCTAGACCTTAAACCCTAAACCCTAAACCCCAGCTTTGGGGCCTCTTTTATCCGACGCAAACCCGAGCCGCTGCGCAAGGGTTTAGGGTTTAGGGTTTGCGGCGAAGAGGGCCTCAGGCTGCCATTGCCATCTTTACTTTAGGGTTTAGGGTTTAGTGTACTTAGAGTCCCAAGCACAAATAAAGATAAATTCAAATTAAATCAAATAACGCAAAAAGTGGAAAATGAAATAATAAATGTTATATTGTAAAAAACCAAAAAAAAGATATATTATAAATAAAGATATCTAATATTATAAATAAATAAATAATTATAAATAAAGATATCTAATATTATAAATAAATAAATAAAACAAAAAATTCAGGGAATGCAAATATCACAAATTTGCAGGAGTGCACTTGCTGGGCATGAGCAGTTCTCAGTTTTTGGAATTCTTTTCGAATTCTGCATTCTTTTCCCGGATTTTCGATTATTTTGAAGAAAAAAGTGAATTTAAACGCAAAAATATAAATATAATTGCAAATAAAGAATAAAAGAGAAAAAGTGCAAACAGCAGAAAAAACGAGAACGAGAACGCGGAAACGGGGTGTACGTACACCTCAACGCAGCAACAGCCACGGAGGCAAATGCAGCGCCGAAAAGCTCCGTTTAAATATTTTTAATCAATTTAAATTTATTTACTTTTGAATAATTTGAAGTTTAGAGAAAGTACAAATAAAAACAAGAAAACAAAAGATTAAATGTGATCCAAAAAGCCCAAAAGCGCCGCCGATTCCGCTCATTTACTCCCCCAATCAAAATACTTCATTTGCATTTATATTCATTTTTATAATTCTTGCGAAATATAAATATACATCTAAATACAATTTAAATATAAATGTAAATATAATAATAATATTCTCTTCAATGTAATATAAATATTGGTGCAAATACCAAAGTCTCATTGCCTCTCTAAAGAGAAGAGTAAAATGAATGCGCCAGCTGCCCTCTAGGGTTTAGGGTTTAGGGTTTAGGGTTTAGTTCCGTTTCGTGGGGGAGCCTGGTTTTGAAGACCGGCAAAAACAAATTTGGCGTATCTTGACAAATGAATGTATAAGAAACCCTAAAGCCCATACCCTAAACCCTAAACCCTAAACCCTCGGCGCTGAACAACAGCGGGGGGCTCCTGCCGTCTGCGAGCAGAATCCTCAGGGTTTACGGTTTAGCGCTAGGGTTTAGGGTTTAGCGCCACGGCCTAGGGTTTGGAATTGGGGTCTGAACACTCGCACTAAGAAGCACGAGGGTTTAGGGTTTAGGGTTTAGAGCTCGTCGTGCTCAACAGACTCCTCCTCATCTTCATCTTCTTCCTCGTCGTCCTCCAGCTCCTCTTGCTGCTGCTGCTGCTGCTGCTCGTTGCCGTTGGGGGCCGTCCTGGCTCTTGCTGCTGCTGCTGCTATATCTGCTGCTGCTGCTGCTGCTTGTTCCTTTTCCTGCGTCTTCTTTTGCTGCTCCCGTGCTGCATTAAACCTCTCTTCTGCTTCCGTCTCGATTGCTGCAGCAAGAGCTTGCTGCTGCCCGCGGCGCTGCTGCCGCAAGCTGCTGCTCGAACCCCCCTGCTCTCCTGCTGCTGCTGCTGCTGCTGCTGCTGCTGCATCGCCGCCCCACAGCACTTCTATCAGCGGCACTGCCACGTTGTGGTAAAGACTTGTGTACAGCCCCTCCAGGGGCACCAGCGCAGACCTGCACCCAAACCCTAAACCCTAAACCCTAAACCCTAAACCCTAAACCCTAAACCCTTGGGTCTGTAGTGCCCGGTGCAGCGAAGACGCGGCGGCAGGCGTTGGCCGCAAACAATAAGACCAAGCAACTAGGCGCCCGCCTCCAAACCCTAAACCCTAAACCCTAAAGCCTAAACCCTAAACCCTAGCGCACTCCAGGTCCCAGCCGTAGACAAGAGACGGCAGCGCATAGACTGTAAAAGCTGCCCTCGGAACATGAGCTGTTATGTGCTCCAAATATATTGCCCCGCGAGAGTCCTGCAGCACAAACCCTAAACCCTAAACCCTAAACCCTAAACCCTAAACCCTAAACCCTAGGCCCTGAGTGCAGCGGGTCTCTGTCACGGGCAGCCCGCTGGTCTCCGTAACTCCGGAGCGCCCAGCGCAACCTAAACCCTAAACCCTAAACCCTAAACCCTCGCGTCCTACCGGCACTCCAACAAGGACCTTCCTGTGGGGCTTTAGCCGGATGGCGGACTGCACAGCGGGAGTTGAAGCACCCAGCTGCTGCTGCTGCTGCTGCTGCTGCTGCTGCTGCTGAAAGATCCCCGGCTGCAGCACCAAGGGCCGCAGCGGGGCTTCTCGCGATATTGTTAAGGAACCCTAAAAGAAGATTAAAATAAAAAATAAATAAATAAATTAATTAATTAATTAAAATAAATAGACCATTTCAAATAAACTGGCGCATGCAAGAAGACGGAACTTCATTTGTCTACGTGGAGCAGCAGCAGCAGCAGCAGCAGCAGCAGCCGCAGCAGTGTGAGCAATGTCGCTGCAGCAGCAGCAGCACCATCAGCAACAGCATTTGCAAAAGCATCGCCGACAGAAACAGCAGCAATAGCAGACCCACAAGCAGCAGCAGCAGCAGCAGCAGCAGCAAAATCAGCAGCAGCAGCAAATGCCCCAGCAGCAGCAGCAACAAAAGCAACAGCACACCCGCAAGCAGCAGCAGCAGAAAAAGCAGCAGCCGCAGCACCAGCGACACATGCAGCAGCACACCCACAAGCAGCAGCAGCAGCAGTAGCAGCAGCAGCAGTAGTAGTAGCAGCAGCAGCAGCAGCAGCAGCAGCAGCAGCAGCAGCAGCAGCAGCAGCAGCAAATGCCCCAGCAGCAGCAGCAACAAAAGCAACAGCACACCCGCAAGCAGCAGCAGCAGAAAAAGCAGCAGCCGCAGCACCAGCGACACATGCAGCAGCACACCCACAAGCAGCAGCAGCAGCAGTAGCAGCAGCAGCAGTAGTAGTAGCAGCAGCAGCAGCAGCAGCAGCAGCAGCAGCAGCAGCAGCAGCAGCAGCAGCAAATGCCCCAGCAGCAGCAGCAACAAAAGCAACAGCACACCCGCAAGCAGCAGCAGCAGAAAAAGCAGCAGCCGCAGCACCAGCGACACATGCAGCAGCACACCCACAAGCAGCAGCAGCAGCAGTAGCAGCAGCAGCAGTAGTAGTAGCAGCAGCAGCAGCAGCAGCAGCAGCAGCAGCAGCAGCAGCAGCAGCAGCAGCAGCAGCAGCAGCAGCAGCAGCAGCAGCAGCAGCAGCAGCAGCAGCAGCAGCAGCAGCAGCAGACCTCAATGGGGAAAATGTGTCTGTTTTGGCTGCCAGTATTTATAACAAAATTTGCCCCTGGAGGAGCAACGCGCAGCAGCAGCATTTCGTCGACGTCGGCCAGCAGCAGCTGCGTCCGCACCGCAGACCCTGCGCAGCAGCAGCAGCAACAGCAGCAGCAGCAGCAGCAGCACACAGGCGAGGGTTTGGGGCGGAGGGACTAGGGTTTAGGGTTTGCAGAGGCTCGGCAAGGACCAGCAAATACCCAATGGCGCACGAAGTGCGCCCGTGCGTCTAAACCCTAAACCCTAAACCCCAAACCCTAAACCCTAAACCCTAAACCCTACCGTAGTGTTCGTAGGAAAGGAAAGTGGGCGAATAGACCCAAAAGGCCCTCGCGAAATTCGCCTCAAGAGAAGCCCCCAGCAAATCGAGCTGCTCTTCTGCAGTGAGCTGGTCGTCCTGTAAACCCCAAACCCTAAACCCTAAACCCTAAACCCTAAACCCTAAAGCCTAAAGCCTGGCCCTGAAGTTGCTTCTCAGTGCGGGCACGGGGCCCGGAAAGCGACAGAAGGGGACCGCACACAAGTGCACCCGGGTCAAGGTGCAAACCCTAAACCCTAAACCCTAGACTCTAAACCCTAAACCCTAAACCCTAAACCCCAAACCCCAAACCCTCGATTCACCTCCGTGCCGACGACGCCATCTGGTCCTGCTCGTTTGGCGTTTGCAAAGGCGACGACTTCCTCGACGCAGGGGAGCGCACCTGAGCCGCAACCCGTAAACCCTAAACCCTAAACCCTAAACCCTAAACCCTAGTTGAGGGAGTTAAACCCCCCGAGTGCGCAGCGGCGTCTAGCCCCCTGGCGGGCGCAGCGGGCGCGCGGGCGGCGCGCCGGCGGAAGCAGCCAGGGTTTAGCGCCTACGGTTTAGGGTTTAGGGTTTATGGCCTAGGGTTTAGGGTTTAGGGTTTATGGCCTAGGGTTTAGGGTTTAGGGTTTACCCCTGGCGACGTAGGCGGGGGCGAGGCCCTCGAGGGGCCAAAAGGCCAGCGAAGACTTCTTCAGCTTTTCCTCCGCCAAAAGACAATTAATTAATTTGCCATCTTTCATTTCAAACTGGGAAAGACAAAGGAGAAAAATGAGGACAACAACCCCCACAATCGCCAGGTCCCGCCACATCCTGCTGCTGCTGCTGCTGCTGCTGCTGCTGCTGCTGCGGACGCACGGTGAACAAGTTCATTCTTCCGCTGCTGCTGCTCGCTTGCTGCTCGCTAGGCTGCAAACCCTCAGCAGCAAAACCCACCAGCCCCAGACGCAGCGGGGGCCCCGCTGCTGCTGCTGCTGCTGCTGCAGGGGCCCCCAGGAACCTGCTGCTGCTGCTGCTGCTGCTGCTGTGGTTGTAATTGCTGTCGTTGGATTTTGCTGCTGCACTTAATTTCGAAACGCCCTAAACCCTAAACCCTAAACCCTCGCACCAGCTCGGGCCCCGCCGCCGCTGATCCGTTGCTTTCTGCGGCTCGCGCGGTCTCAGTCGAATAAAGCAAACCAAAGCAATTAAAATAATTAAAATAATTAAAATAATTAAAACAGATTGAAATAAAATAATTAAAACAAATTATTTTAATTAAATAAATCAATTCTTCAAAGACGATGCCGTCACATCCGGCCGACCGCCTCAACGCGGTGGCTCGGAGGTGTACAGACACCCGAAATTTGCTTCAGCGCCGAAACCCTAGACCCCTCTGCTGCTAAACCCTAAACCCTAAACCCTAAACCCTAGTCTTGCTGCTGCCTGCTGCTAGGGTTAGCTGCTGGAGTTGCCGCTCTGCGTCGGGCGTGGAGGCCCGGGGAGTCTTTTCTAGGGTTTCGAGTGGCCCGAGGGTTTAGGGTTTAGCAGCAAACACCTCAAACTAGGGTCTATGGTTCAGCAGCAAACACAGCAAACTAGGGTTTAGGGTTTAGCAGCAAACACCTCAAAACAGGGTTCCGGGTTTAGCAGCAAACACCTAAGGTACTAAGGTCTAGGGTTTTGGGTCTAGGGTTTAGCAGCACCTCAAACTAGGGTTTAGGGTCTACGGTTTAGCAGCAAACACCTCAAACTAGGGTTCAACAGCGAACACCTCAAACTAGGACTTAGGGTTTGGCACCAAACACCTCGAACTGGGGTTTAGCAGCAAACACCTCAAACTAGGGTTTAGGGTTTAGGGTTTGGGAAGGTGACAAATGCAGCGTCAGCGCAGCTTTGGGAAGCGCCGTGTGGGGTTGAGGGTTTTGGGGGCGGCTTCACCGGGCCCCGCGCGGGGCACGCCCCAAGCCCTAAACCCTAAACCCTAATTTAGGGTTTGGCGAGTCTAGCCACTCAACACGCACACCCCGCCCGCCTCTTTAATTTTCTTCTCCGCCAACTTCGAGAAGAACCGAGCCCTCACAATCAGCGGCAGCTTCGGCAGCGCGCCCTTCCCCAGCACCTGCACCCGCAAACCCTAAACCCTAAACCCTAAACCCTAAACCCTAGAGACCGCGCCCTGCAGCAGCAGCAGCAGCAGCAGCACTGCTCCCCCGGCCCCAACCGGAGCCCGTCGCGCCGCGCAGCGCGCCTGCCGCCGCAGACCCCCGCTCCGCGGCCGCGGGCGCCAAACCCTAATTTAGGGTTTAGGGTTTACCTTGAAGTAGCCCGCCTGCGTGCAGTCCACCACGTAGGCCTTTTCGCCTGCGGCGCCGCTGCTGGCCCGCTCGAAGGCCTTCGGAGACAGCAGCGACCAGAGCCGGTCCACATTTATTACTGGGCAGTGCTGCTGCGCCCGCAGCAAGTGAAAGTGGCGCATCCCCACCTGCAGCAGCAGCAGCAGCAGCAGCAGCAGCGGCAAGGGTGCAGCAGCAGCAGCAAGGGCGCAGCAGCTGCAGCAAGGGGGCAGCAGCGGCAGCAGCGGGCGGGGCGGCGTGGCTGGCAGGGGAGCGGCGGCGGAGTCGCTAGAGCAGCAGCAGCAGCGCAGCAGCAGCAGCGCAACAGCAGCGGCGCAGCAGCGCAACAGCAGCAGCGCAGCAGCAGCGGCAGAGGCAGCAGCAGCAGCCGTGGCGTGTAGCAGGGTGAGAGGAAGACACAAAGCCTCGGAACTTCTAAGGGAGTATTTGGACGAAGCCCCGGTGCACTCCCAAACCCCAAACCGCAAACCCTAAATTAGGGTTTGGAGCCCCGCTGCTGCTGCTGGCGCTGCGCGGCTCGCCGCGCGCGCGCAGCAGCAGCAGGACGCCGCGCAGCAGCAAACAAACAAACGGAACAAATAAATGAATTAAACTAATTAATTAAACTAATTAATTATTTAATTTAATTAATTAATTAAATACCTTTCCGAAGTAACCCGGGTGGAACTTGTCGAAGTGAATCCGCTTGTGGTGCATCCCTCCAGCCTTGCCGCGGCCGCCGGGGTGTTTGCGGTGTTTGCCCACGCGCCCGTGGCCTGCGCCCAAACCCTAAACCCTAAACCCTAAACCCTAAACCCTAAACCCTAAACCCTAGGCCGCAGAGCCTGGGGCCTGGGGTTGGGGAGGGGGGCTTGGGGCTGGCAGGGAAAGCGACCGAAGTCGGGGCGCAGGAAGCTGTGCGCTAGGTGCCACAAACCCTAAACCCTAAACCCTAAACCCTAAACCCTAAACCCTAAACCCTCGACTTGCCCGCAGAGACGTGGCCTCTCAGCTTGCGAGTCTTCCTGAGGCGGGTCGTCATTTTCGGTTCAAACAATCTGTAAACAACGCAAACCCTAAACCCTAAACCCTAAACCCTAAACCCTAAACCCGTAGAGCTGAGGAGTAACTGGAACCCCCGACGCCGCCGCCGCTGCTGCTGCTGTTGCTGTTGCTGCTGCTGATACTATGCTGCCAGCAACCAGCACAAAGGCTAGTTAGGCTAGAAATAGAGAAGCAATTTGCTGCTGCTGCTGCTGCTGCTGTTGGTGATGCAGCCTCGCTCTTCCCCGCGCCGCTGCAACGAGCAGCAGCAGCAACAGCAGCAACAGCAACAGCAGCAGCAGTTCAATTCCTCACCACAAGCCTCAAGAAGAACCCCCGAAAATGTAAATATTTTGTCCTTGTGTTTGCTGCAGCAGCAGCGGAGCAGCAGCAGCAGCACCGGCTCAGCGGAAGCTTCTTGTGGGGTGGGGCTGCT